ATACGCAACTGTCAAACGACTGCTTCAAGACCATGTCAAAATTTCAAATTTTGTGAAGGAGAAAAATTTCATAAAATGACTCGTCAGGACATCAAAAACTCTGCTAAATTGTTACGTCATTCAAATACAACGACTAATCAAGGTAATGCAAGTAAAAATTCATTGAGGAGTTGATAAATAGGTTACAGAGATGTGCACAAGTTTGATAAATGTTTACCCTGCGGCGCGTTTCACTCATTTAATTCATGCTTATCTCGTAATCCTAAGTGCTTTGAATGAAGAGAAATTGAACATATTCAGTCAGTTTGTAATACCATTGTTCATTTCTCTACAAGCAATGCTAAACTTTGTAATTTCGACCCTTTTAAAATAAGTGCTAGCAATGATCGTTTATCTTTATCCACGACTTCGATAAATAGGGTAGAGTCATATATCAGTCCACAGTTAAATAAAACTCAGAATCATTGTGAGGTAAAAGCCTCTAGTTAATCATTTTATTAACGGATTTCTCATTTTATTGTATCAGATATGATTTGTCTTAACGATCCACATGTTTCTGGTGGAATTTCTTACAAATCTAAGGGAAATATGTTGAATAAATCAAATCATAATCAAAACACCAGATTCAGTTTTGGTAGATGCTGATTTTTCTAATGATCCATTATTCTCTATTGAAACTTGATAAAATTGGGGGAAATATTTCAGAAGAACCAAATTCTGATGTCACATCAAATATTATTTGTTCTAATAATGCATTTGTTACTTTTGGTAAACTTGTTCAATGTGAAACACCAGTACCGAATGAGCTCGATTTTGATTACAATTCGTGTAATATCATATTAAATTTTGCTTATCCCTATTATGAATTCACTTCTAATGAATACTCTCGTCAATGTGAGAATCATGTTTTAAATGAAGCCACATTATCCATAACTTCGGGATATGAAGAATCAACAATATTTCGTGGGGGAGGATAGTGTTGGAAAATTTATGATTCAACATCTAGAAATCAATGGTTTCAGTACACAACCGACATGATGATTGTATACAATTCTAGGACCCAAGTGAGTCTGCTCCAACTTCAGTTGTTAGTTATAATACTAACGAGTATATACTAGATGGTGCAGAGTCTAAATCCACTACACAGTCTAACAGACATATGGTGAACCTAAGGAGAAGACTAACAATAAGTTATAGAAATCTAGATTCCGATTTGAGCTGTTGTGGCTACGTCGTTTGTATGAACCAATGATTCCGTTGTGCTTGATGACTGCCTGATTGCGAACTCTAAATAAAATACTTTTGTTTGTATTCGTTTAGTTTTCCTTTCTGTAAATTGTTCGATTCCAGAATTTTCTAGTTAATACAATAACTCAAATACTTTTAATTATCACTATTGATCACCAGGTTAGGTCAAAATTACGTGAACATAACCTGTCAGTCGACATTTCAGTGCTCTCTAGTTGTCCTCTGTTACTAACATGAGGGTTATAAATTAAGTCTGCTCAAATCTGATAGGCTAATCATTCGGCTCTTAGCATACTAATGTAAAAACAAGTCAGTGAGTAATTTTATCTGCTTAGTTGAGCGAACACTGAAAATATAATTTATGAAAAATCTCGTTTTTCGTTTACTTCTTGAAGTCGATTCACTTGAATTTTCAGTCGGACTGATAAGTGCCACTGATAGGGAAGAATCATGATATATTTGGCCAGTTATAACAACAAGTTCATTTCTAGAGGTAAATAAATCCCTAAAATAAATGGTTCTGTATATGTTTAGCGATTATGCTAACCTCGATAATTTGATTGGACATACTGCATTTGAAAGCGATCAGTTAAGTATCCGCATTAGATCACATTAGGGCAAGCTGTATTGTGCATGCCTAACAACAGCTAGTCAGTTTTGACCACAATCTTCTTGACAAATTAATTATCTTTCAGATATGTCTTAGATCTTCTTCACTTAAGACTTTTGGTTTGACTAGATTTGAGATCTCTGATCAGAAAAATATTATGGACTACAGGTTTTGATAAGCCCTGATGTCGCCCAAATCCTTAGTTCTTAATTAACAGATAGGGTCAGCAACTCTATCTGAAACCCCTTTTTCTAGTATTAGGACTTGTATGAACCGACTATGGGTTTCGGTTGAGTTTCTCTCTTAGTCCTATGTTATCCACTCTTCTGACGAAAATATAATGAGTCGGTAAATTCGGGGAGGATATGAATCATTTGCAAAAATCCTGAAGATCCTATATTCACGCACTAATATTGAAATAAATGATTGGTCAACAAAGCGTGATTGACCACAATCATTTTTTCGCACTCACATTACCAGCTTATCTCCCCGTCGTTGGAATAATTTTAAGAGAGTGTGTAGGACTGTGTAGTTTCCATGTATTACAAATTAACCTTGTCATTTAGGCAGCTTGTATACAGGTTAATTTGATGGACGTTGACCCGTCACTGTATGTTATTTGGTGGTCACCCATGTGATGCTATGTCCTCTCATAACTTCAAGCACAAATTATTATTTTCAATCTTTATTACACTCATTTCTATACTTGCTGGAATAATGAAACGCTAACCCTCAACGATGAGTTTGAAAAACAAGCATACTTAAAAAATCAGTGAACTGTTCCGAATGTATTTTCGTGAGGGATGGCATTAAACGAGAACGCAACTCATCCTGACCGGATGACTCGTCTGGCTTTAGGCAACTAAGTAGAAGGTGAATGTTATGAGCCACAGGTTTTTTGCACATTGCTAGGTATCTCAGTGTTGTGTTTGTAATACGAGTCGACAACAAAATCCATCGAGTAGGCCGTGCTGAAGTAGTGTAAAAATATTTTGATTTTGAATTTACTTGTGTGTTTGCATTTTCGGCGGGTCAGAGTGAGGATGCAGCATTGAATTCCCGAATTAATTACAGAGAGGAGTGGTTCGGAAATTATACAAGATGACCAGCGAAAAACATGAGCTTTGACAAACTATTTGGGGGCAGTTTTCATTCATGAGCCTTTTCTAGACGAAAATTAGACCCAAATACAAAGTCAACAAACTATCTGCTCACCATGAACTTTGATCTAGACGATGTACTTAGACCTCCCAGCAATTTGGACATGGAATAGTCAACAGGACCGGATGATTTACGACTCAAAATCCTGAGAGAAACTGCACAATATATTGCAGCGCCACCAACTATGATATTCAGTATGTGGCATGAGGTTGTGGCTGAGGGGGTTAGAATCCTATGGGCTTTGAGATAGACATTCATCAAGACAGATCTACCATATCCACTGCAATGTACACAATCTTAGTGAGAACTAAACTTGAAAACCGCGTCCAAGCTGCAAGCCCCCTGTGCCTCGCATATCCTAGAAAAAGTAAAGGGTGCAGCTGCCCATGACATTCTATAACTGTGGGGTTTACCATACAAAGAGCGGCCCGAGAAGCTAGACCTCTTCACTCTGTCCTACTGCAGATTAGGAGGTGATCTGATTTTGATGTATAGAATATTAAGAAACGATTTTGGACTAGATACATCCTCTCTTTTACTTGCCACTTGATCTGGATATCTCAGAGGAAATAGCAGGCGAGTAGAAAAGCCAAGAACGAACAAAATACCTGTGACATACAAGTTTTTACACCGAGTTATCAATCCTTGGAACCTGTTAACCAAAGCAGTGGTGCTCGCACCTTCAATCGACTCGTTCAAGAGAACACTGGACACTCACAGAAGCATGCTAGAAGGTCAGTAACATAGGCCGTGGGTCTTTCATTCTTACTACGCATATATAAGTCTGCATCTGTCTATATTTTATTGACTGGTCAACAAAATCCAAGACAGTGGGTTCTAAATTTTGGTACCAAATTCGTTCATCTGTATGGCTAATGTCGGGACGGTCTATAAGCCATGCCACTTGTTCCTGCTCACATATTGCATGTTGTCAAGAATTTGGAATGTCATAATTTATCAGCTATTAACGACGTGTTTACCAGCAAACGTCAAGTTTCGTAATCTTTGTGCTTGTTACATGGAGTTTATTCCAGTCTATTATTAGCTTGACGTATTTGTTACTCGAAACCTGGATGAATGTTTAGTCAGCTTAATTTGGTTATTTGTAAAAAAAACCCGAACAAGTAAAATTCACCATATTTCAAGTCAAAAACAAACCGCAGTCAAAATTTAGGCAAAAATGAGCTCTAAAATCTCTTACACTTGATTTATCTCCCTGATTATGGTAGTGGTGAACATGGATGCATGTTTGTGTTGAGCATCGCAACTAAACCATGTCGTATTTAATACCGATTTATGAACTGTCTGTTATAGTGTAAACGAATGAATTTATGTAAACAGAATTCGAAATCACTGATCAAATTGAAAATAAGATTCTAATGCAAACTGAAGAGTAATATCTGAAAAATGCTTACCAGTGATATCTTTATTGTACGTAAGCAGTGAATTGCTGATAGCAATATGAACGTTGCAATAGGATTTTCCTCAGATTTTATATCACTACTTGAAGGTTTTGAATCAGTCTACTTAATGCCTGCAGTTTATTTGTCAACACTAAATAACCGAATGAAATTCTAGGAGGGTTAAAAGATTAAGAACATTGTTTGTAACAAGTAAGATAATTATACGTACATCCTGTCAGCCACTATTTAAGTTGCTTATTGAATTTGATTCTGATAACGAATCTGTACATGTTGTTTGCTTCGTCTTGATAAAGAAATTGTTATGCTATTATTGAACTTTTGCCTCTTATCTATCTTCCATCGACTGAAATGTCTAAGAGCATGATGAACTATACAAATTATATTTCAAGAATGACTGAGCTTACGATGCAACAATCGGCCCAACGTGTGCACTACAAGAGAGAGCTAAACCAATCAGCAACTGAAATACGGAATGACCGCCTCCTTTCAGGCCGGTCAAGGTCGTAGAAACGAAACGGCGGGCGACTTTGAAAGGATCTGATTTTTACCGCGCCTTGATGTCGGTATGTGATGAATTCTCTAGCCATAACTCATAACCCTATCTACTAATTTTTAATCCTTATTTTCTACACTATTTTATAACAGCCTTTGGCGAGGCTATTATCTGTGGACGAACCAATGACATTCAAGATAGCAGGTCTTAGACTTTAGAGCGAAATTCATCCACTCATTTGACTAAATACCATTTTGGCATTATAGCTGATGTCAGTTCGTGATGAAAACATTAAAGAAAATCTCTAGCACTAACGTTCAATTATAATTCTTAATCCTAGTTCCTCGCACTAATCTATAACCCTCATTTAAACCTAGTAAGTAGATGGCATAATCAAGGTTATTTTAACCTTGCCCAGAGGTCGTCCATAAATTGTAGCCTCAGCCAGCCTATTATCCCTAGAAAGTAGTTGAATTTTCTTAGCGTCACGTTAACAGCGCTACATGTCCATAACATAATCTCCCGATTTTGGGGAGAATCCGGGGTTTTCCTCAAAGTTCAATAACAGTTGGCAGTCTCCCCTAATACTTGAAAAATGTTTACGGGTTTCGTGCCACTTCTCTAGGATTTTCTTGAAATTTTCTATAGCGGCTTCCCCGAAATAGTGAGATCGGGAAATTATGGTCTCTGAATTTTCATATGATTGTAAAATTGTTTCCATTACTTCGTTTCGCCCTCGTCCTAACTTATAATGGAACTGTCGTTTTAGACAGGTGAGGCTATCATGTACTATTTCAATCAGCACGAGAAAGCTATGCCCGTTTTGCATACGTTCCTCACCTCTCGGTAATCAAGTTCAATTGCTTCGAGACTTGTAGTGATATTCAAGTCACTAAAATATTTCCCATCACTGCACTTTTTAAGTATTTATGTCGATCCATGTACGGGGTGCCTACGTTTCTTGATTTAGGATCTAAACTGTAAGGCAAAAAACGCATCTAAGCAACCTTGATGAAACATCAATAGCTTGTTTTAGACTCTTCATAATGTAGACTGTGTTCTGTTCCATAACATCTTTTACATTGTTAAAAAATCATTTAATCCTTTACACACATTATTTGCAAACACATGCAAATTATAATGACACAACAGATAAATAAATAGTGATAAACAACGACCATTTTTGTAAAGTTGTAAGGGTAATCTACCATTTAATGCTGGTCACTGGTTTCTTAAAAAGGTTCTTTTTTCGGAATGGCGATGTCCGACGATCCCCACTTGTGTCCGGGCTTGGGATCGTCAGTAACACTAGAACGGCTCCAGGTTGGTCCTATATGTTACAATTACCTTTCTGTTGTTTGCTATTTCACTCCAAACTAATTTAGGCGTCGATGTACGTCTATTATGAAGCAGCATTTTGCATTTAGGGGAAGGCCGACCATTGAACTAATCGAGCTATACTGTCTGGAACGATCGTTTCTCAAGGTTCTACTATGCAAGACAGGTCGGTTGAAGAGCAGTAAAATTAAAAATAGCAAACCCAAGGTCCAAAGGCGAAGTCGCACTACTGACTGTACAGAGGTGTGAGAGCAGCAAGGTATTTCATTCAGACAACCAGCATGAAAACAATGTTGCCTTCCCGCAAAGGAAATGTGAAGTTAGAAAAGGTCGATCCTAAAAATACACACTTAACCTTATCCCACGAATTTCCGTCTCTGGTTGTAAGGTCTTCCTTTTATTTATGTACTTCTTTGAAACACCTTCGATGATAAATACTGCCACAGAATTTCTTAACAGTCAGATGCTCCTTAAAGACTAAAAAATACGATTATAATCTAGCGTCGATAAGTATGACTATACTCTAAAACTTGGTCAATACATTCGCGCTAAGCTTTGAGATAGGCCTGGTTTTTACGAGCCTTGTGACAGTATTTATATTCTATGTTAACCGAACTGTTTCCTATGTGGATATCATAAGAGGTGGTGGAGAAGATTTGTAACTCAGGTGGGTGATTTTGATGTTGGTTTGTTCTCTGACCAAACCATCCAGCTCAGAGAACAAACTAACATCAATATCATAAGAGGATTTCTGTCTTTTATTATAAGCTAGGACAATCAGCAGTCGCAAACCAGTCAGATGTAAGCTGTGGCAATATTTTCAAATGACATAATGGTGTCTCTAACTGTCAATTCTAGTTTTTATGCTTCCTATTGGAACTCGTCCAACTTTTTTTCCCGTCCGTACCTGTGACATCGCTGTGGTGGCCGGGCTTGCCATCGTGATTCAACCGAACCATATTGGCTGGAACACATATTCCTTTAGATTCTACGATGCCAGGCAGGTCGGTTGTAAACTAAAAGCAGCAAAGTAGGGTTCAAGGGCGAAATCGTGCTGCTTGCTGTCAGTCAGTCACAACGTAGACCTTCGTACGTACGTACGTACATCAGTTCTAGTTGCCATACCACATCAACACAGACATGCAGTTGTCGATTCAAATCTCATATTGATAGAGGTAGTAAGAATAAAAGCACTAGTCGGGAAGATTATGATTTGAAAATGTTATTCAAGGAATATTACTTACTTACTTACGCCTGTTACCCCTCGTCGAGCAGCATAGGCCGCTCACCAGCATTCTCCATCCAACTCTGTCCTGAGCCTTCCTTTCCAGTTCTTTCCAGTTGCTATTCATCCTTTTCATATCGGCTTCTATTTCCCGGCGTAGTGTGTTCTTTGGCCTTCCTCTTTTCCGCTTCCCTTCCGGATTCCAAGTTAGGGATTGAGTCGTGATGCACATTGGTGATTTCCTTAATGTATGTCCGATCCACTTCCAACGTCTTTTCCTTATTTCCTCTTCAGCTGGAAGCTGGTTTGTCCTCTCCCATAAAACGCTGTTGCTGATAGTATCCGGCCAATGGATGTTGAGTATTTTGCGTAGACAACTGTTTATAAATACTTGTACCTTCCTGATGATGGCCGTAGTAGTTCTCCACGTTTCAGCTCCATACAGTAGGACTGTCTTGACGTTCGTATTAAAGGTTCTCACCTTGAAATTGGTTGAGAGTTGTTTTGAGTTCCATATGTTCTGCAATTGTAGAAATGCTGCCCTTGCTTTGCCAATCCTTGCCTTTACATCTGCATCCGATCCTCCTTGTTTATCAACGATGCTCCCCAGGTACTTGAATGTTTCCACCTCTTCCAGAGTTTCGCCATCAAGTGTGATTGGGTTGGTGTTCTCCGTGTTGCATTTGAGAATCTTGCTTTTTCCTTTGTGAATGTGGAGGTCTATCGACGTGGAGGCTGCTGCTACATTTGCTGTCTTCATCTGCATTTGGTCGTGTGTATGAGAGAGGAGGGCTAGGTCATCTGCGAAGTCCAAATCATCTAATTGATTCTGAGAAGTCCATTGTATTCCGTATTTCCCTTCAGATGTCGAATTCTTCATAATCCAGTCAATCACTAGAAGGAAGAGGAATGGGGAGAGTAGACAGCCTTGTCTGACTCCGGTCCTTACTGGAAATGCATCTGTCAGCTGTCCTCCATGCACCACTTTGCACTGTAATCCATCGTATGAGTTTTGGATAATGTTGACGATCTTCTGAGGAACTCCATAGTGTCGAAGAAGTTTCCACAATGTTCTCCTATCCACGCTGTCAAACGCCTTCTCATAGTCGATGAAGTTGACGTATAGTGATGAGTTCCACTCAACTGATTGTTCAACGATGATCCGTAGTGTCGCAATCTGGTCTGTGCACGACCGATCCTTACGGAATCCAGCCTGATGATCCCTAAGTTCGGCGTCTACTGCGTCTTTCATCCGATTCAGCAGCACTCTGTTGAAAACTTTTCCTGGTACTGATAACAAACTGATACCTCTGTAGTTCTCACATTGGCTCAGATCTCCTTTCTTTGGTATCTTGATGAGATATCCTTCTTTCCAGTCCGTTGGCACTTGTTCCTCTTCCCAAATCTTTTTGAATAGAAGGTGAAGCATGTTTGCAGTTATTTCAATGTCTGACTTCAGTGCTTCTGCTGGTATATTGTCAGGTCCTGCCGCCTTCCCACTTTTGATTTGTCTGATGGCCATCTTGACTTCTTCGATCGTTGGTGGAGTGACATCTATTGGAAGGTCTGTGTGGGCTGCTTCGATGTTCGGTGGATTCAATGGGACTGGTCTATTCAGCAGTTCCTCAAAGTATTCTGCCCATCTTTTCCTCTGTTCCTGAATCTCAGTGATTGTCTTTCCTTCTTTGTCTTTGACTGGTCTCTCTGGTTTGCTATATCTCCCTGCCAATTTCTTCGTTGTATCATATAGTTGTTTCATATTCCCTTCTCTTGCAGCTTTTTCCGCCGCCGTTGCTAGTTCTCCCATATGTTTCTGCTTGTCAGCTTTAATGCTTTTCTTCACTTCTCTGTTTGCTTCTGCGTAGTCTGCTTGTGCTTTGACTTTCTCTGCTCGTGTTCGGCTGTTGTTAATTGCTAGTTTCTTGTTCTTCCTTTCTTGAAGTTTGTCCAGGGTCCCCATAGAGATCCATTCCTTGTGATGGTGCTTCTTAGGACCAAGAACCTGCTGACACGTTGAAGTTAGTGCTTCTTTTATCCCTTTCCAGTTGTCCTCCAAAGTAGTTTCTTGTTCTTTCAGTAGATCCTGTAGAGCTTGGAACCTGTTGTTGAGAGTTATCTTGAATTCATGGAGCTTGTCAGCATCTCGAAGGAAGGCTGTATTAAACCTTTGTAGTGCTGTTTGTCCAGTTGTCCAGTCTTTCTTTAGCTTCAGTCTCATCTTGGCCACAACCAGGTGGTGATCTGAAGCTATGTCAGCTCCTCTCCGGGTTCTCACATCTTCCATTGATCTTCGGAATTTTTTGTTGATACAGATGTGATCAATCTGGTTCTCTGTGGTGTGGTCCGGTGAGATCCATGTAGCTTTGTGTATGCGTTTGTGTGGGAATATTGTGCCGCCTATAACCAATTTGTTGAAAGCACATAGGTTTGCAAGTCTCTCCCCATTTTCATTTCTCTCTCCTAATCCATGTCGTCCAATTACATCTTCATATCCTGTGTTGTCCACTCCAACTTTAGCATTTAGATCTCCCATAAGGATGGTGAGGTCCTTTCGTGAGCACTTCTCCATAATTGATTGCAGCCTTTCATAGAACTGATCTTTATCATCGTCGTTGCTATCATTGGTGGGTGCATAACATTGGATAACGTTCATTGTGATCCCTTGCTTCTTTGTTCTGAATGATGCTTTGATTATCCTGGGTCCATGAGATTCCCATCCCACAAGTGCATTTCGTGCTTCTTTGGACAGCATTAGAGCAACTCCCTGAGTGTGTGGCGCATTTTCCCCTTCGTGACCGGAGTACAGCAGCATCTCTCCTGTACCTAGCCTTTGTTGTCCAGTTTGTGTCCAATGGGTTTCGCTGATTCCGAGTACTGCCAAGTTGTATCTCCTCATTTCCATTGCTAGTTGGCTGGTCTTTCCTGTTTCCCACATTGTCCGGACGTTCCATGTACCTATAAAGAGTGTTGCTCTGGTTGTTAGAAGGTGCATCGGTCTCGTGACTTCCGAAGAATTTCGGCTTTCATCATGAGACGTCATTATTCCTTCAACTCCCAGAGCAGAGTTTAAATGGTTTGGATTATTTTTTCTGGTTAGCGTTTTTTTAGCGAGTTAGCTTTTCTACGGGATGGGGTCGTTAACCCCATGCCCAACCCTCCTCCTTTACCCGGGCTTGTGACCGGCAGTAACTCTAGAAGAGCTACAGGCGGAGTTATTCAAGGAATATAATCCAGTGAAATAAATTTGAAAGGAGAACAAAAATAGGGGCATGAAAAATTCAGAAGATTAGAATTTGGGAGAACGCAATGAGTGGATGCAACTTCTCCATTGCAAACGATTTTGAGCCATGCCATTCAAGGTCTCTAACCATCGGTTGTTATCATGTCGCGGATCCCAACCAGGTAGTCTACACCTACCAACATGGCTCAGTCCAATTGTAAGTGACTTCATAGATTTGTGCCACGTTTTGTTCTGGCCGCCCCTATCTTTCTTCCAACCTACTCCTACACCATAAAACATTGCATGTCTGGGCAGTCGGTGGTCGGGCATACGTAACACGTGTCCCAGCCATCTCAACTGATGAAGTCTCACTACTACATCAATCGATTTGCCATCCTTACCTAGTACCCGTTTCCTAACAACTGCATTACTTACTTAGTGGTCCCAGGATACACGAGCAATGCCTCGAAGGCACCTATTATCGAAAACTAGTAGCCTACGAATATCCTTTACTTTCATCGGCCATGTTTCACTGCCACAAATTAGGACAGAACAAACTGCTGTGTAGTAAACCCGTTTTTTGGTTGGTAGACGGATATCTCGCCTATGCCATAAAGTTTTCAGGGGTAAACCTGTCAGGGTCTGCTTTTCTCCCTCGCTTCAGATTCCCTATAGCTTTTTTAACCTCGTAAAAAGTTTGAGGACTTACATTAACTTGCCATTCTAGTCGACTGGGGATTGTGGGGTACCGCAGTGTGTCTGAAGGCCAGTTGAACTGATCCCTTAAGTGTTCTGCCCATCGATCCAATGTCCTGGATTGAGAATGAATGATATGTCCATCTTTATCTGAGATAGTTTCGCTGTCAGTTGAGTTCCTAATACCGGTTTCTTTAACAAATCTGAATAGTTGTCTGCTATTTCCGCTACCTTTTCCATCTCTCTTGCTTTTTTGAACCACCACTGTTCGCGATCACTACGTCGGCTACTTGTTAGCCTGCGCCTAAGCTGACTCCGCTTTTTGTTATGTTCAAAGACAGAAGGGATGAGTTTTCGAGCATCTATCAGTGCAGTAGTTGCTGCTGAGATCCAGTGTTTCTCCCTAACCTTATAGTTTACCGTACTAGCAGATATCACTGCTGTTTCCACGGCTTTTCGGATGTCATTCCACGCTGCCTCGGGATGGGCACAACTTACATGTCTGTCTAACTGTTTTTCTAGTTCCTGAAATATATTCTTAGCTTAGCTATCATGAAGTAGAACCTTAAGGGGCTTCCTTACAGCGTCTTTCCTACGTCCAATAAGACGCAGACAGACATACTGCTAGCTGTAGAAGGGTTTAACGATAGTAAGGTGCTTGAAGGCGATGCTGCCTTCCTATGAAAGAGGGGTGGGGTTAGACAAGGTCGACCCTAATGCTATCATACTTTGCCTTTCCTCACGGCGGTAAGGCCTTTTGGAGTGAGGTGCTGACACATCAAAGACTTCTCGTAAAAGTGTCGTGCGCGACCGGCATTAAGCAGTTTTCTCTTGGGCTCTGCGGTCACGCTCCTACACCACTAAGACCAGCAATAACCCATCCCAAGTTCCTTCAGAATAAGTCTTCCACGATGTTGGCGACAGGGGGTGAAAACCTCCCTCAAACATGTTTCAGCACGTGAGATCATTTTGTTGACTAACTTATTCAACTTTCTTCACTACTAACCTGGATGTAAGTAATGGCGGTGTGGATCTGCTGCCTGGAGAACGACTTCTCGACCTTGAGTATGCGGATGATATTGTCTTACTGTGCGATAATGCCCAAGGCATGTAATCCGCACTTAATCAGTTGGTAATCAGTGTCCGCAGGTACGGCATGTGCTTTGCATCCTCCAAGTGCCAATCTAGGCCATCTTTGGCGCCTTCGTGATGTTAGTCTGACTGTAAAAGGTCGGATCTACAACGCGTCGGTGAGAGCAGTTTTGCTCTATGCTTGTGAAACTTGGCCTCTCCGAGTTGAGGATGTTAGACGACTCTCTGTGTTCGATCATCGTTGTCTCCGAAGGATTGCTGACATCCAGTGGCAACACCATGTTAGTAATGCAGAGGTTCGGCATCGTGTGTTCGGGCGCAGAGACGATAATTCAATTGGTGTCACCATCTTGAAACAGCGACTTTGGTGGCTTGGACATGTTTTACGAATGTCGTCCCAGAGAATTCCACGTCGTGCATTATTTGCCGATGCTGGGACTGGTTGGAAAAAGCGGAGAGGAGGTCAGTGTATTACATGGTGTCGTGGTATGAAAGAAAGCTGCAAAGAACTAGCTTCTGTTGGTCCTTCACGACTCCCTGGCTGGGGTCCGAGAGATAGTGCAACACAGTGGCTAGAGACGTTATCAGATATGGCTGAGAATAGAAGCCAGTGGCGAGCCTGCTGTAACCTTTTACTTTCTTCATAAAGAGTGGCTATAACTTTCTTAACTGAGAGAGCTCTTCTGGTTTTACATTTCAGTTCCCCCCATCATTACTCTTCTCTTTTTTTCCTTCTTTTATATATACACATCTTCTTCCTCCCATTCTCATTATTTTGTGTGGCGCATATGTATCCGGTGCCCTTTGTACCAATATATATGTGATTAAATAAATAAATATAACTACTAACCTCAAATTATTAATGTGAACGATATTTATCATCGATATTTCGCACAAAATTTCGAGTTGTTGGCTTAATCGCATCGAACCATCCCTCTCAGTATATGTCTACCCACTTATAACTAGGTATTATTTAGAATCTGTCAACTTATTTTCTGTGTGCCAGCAGATCTGCTTGTGTGGTTTGTCATGATATGTAGACTACATTTTCATACAATACTCAAAACCAAATGCTTGGGGACTTGTTAAGCATTCACAAAAATTTTCGGGGGACGAATGCATAGCTATTTAAATTACATCAATCATGACACCTTAACTCTCAAATATCTTTTAGCTAACTCATACTGTGCTGGTAAGTAGGCTGCTAACAAAGAGCACGTAGTTTGGGGAATTTCGTGGCTGTACTTGCTTGTAACATGATTAGAAAACACTACAAGTTCTCATTTTGTAAATAGATAGTTATTATTTAAACCGATAATGTTCCCAAAGTCTATATGTTAAGCGAATTTTATCCGGAATTGTCAAGAATATTATTGTATTAAATCCTCTTAATTCTACTCCTTCGTAAATAATCTTTCACTCACTGACTAACAAATATGGGAATTGTCGTATGATACCGGTCTTTCTCTTTGTTAACATGATTAAGTGAACTAGCATTTACATTCAGGTTCATTTTTATCACGTAAACAATACAATACCTAACTTTTTATGACAGAAATATATTCGTAGTTAGTTGCTAATTTGTTCCGTTCATTATGGTTCTGCAATAATCCAGGCAAAAAATATATCTAGCTTAGATAGCTTTACTGTACACAGAGTTAAAGGTGTGGAAATTTTGCACAATTTTTCACCTGCTATAAATGTATTTATTTTTATTCATCAGATCCATTTCTCAGCCTGGCTTGGTATTATTCTGGGTGTATCATGCTTTGTATTGGGATATTTATATTCACTTTTTAATTATTTGCAACCACAAATGAGTGGGTCAAGTTCTACTCAATTTAAACACGCAATCCATGTTTATAAGTAAGTTAATATAACGTGTATATTTTAGAGATCAAATACAGAAAAACAATGAACTTGGTTCTTCTTTTTCTGTCTACTATCGTGGGGAACATGTTGTCGATACGATTGGAGGTTATGTAGATAAACGATTTCGACTGCCATGGGTAACTTCAACTATTAGCCAGCTGTTCACTGTGTCTATGGTTGTTGTTCCTTTCTCATTCGCTAAGTTGTACCAAGAGTAAGAGTGAAGTATCCATCTTATCATTTCAGCGAACTTCTGGATATTGAATCTTCGATACAACATTATGTTCCTCAATTCGTGGTTGCCAATGTTACTGTATCTGATTTACTCACGCATCAGGTATTTGATAACGCTTACTGATATAAAAAGTCCGGTTTTCCATACTTTGTAGGTCACGCATCCCTAGCAAAATGGAGAGATGACCACAGGAATGCGCTGAATGACATCATTAATCAGATACCTCCTGTCCTACCACGTAAGTCTAATAATCAATAATAACCGTTGTAAAGGAACTCAAGTGTTTCATCTACACTCAATGGCCTTATTGTCTGATGCAATCGTGCGCAAAGTAGACCACAAGAAACGGACACTGGCACGTTATTTCATGGAAGAAATCGCATGGCCTCTTGGTAAGCAGTATGAATAAACTGTTTATGAGACCAACGAAAAATAATTGCTATTTGTACTGTCTTTAGATTGCTACACAGTGATTTTCATTTCCAATCATTATTCAGCATTAGTTTGTGTGTAAAATTTAATACATGGAAATTCTATTGTTCAAGATATTCTTGTAAACTGTTTTATAAACCGATTTCCTTCATTCATACCATCTTTACTGTACTTAAGGTTTAGATATGCTTATTGGGATTCCACGTACCCAACTATATCGTGTTGCACGAACATATCACGCCAATGCTTTAAGTGTATTTAGCGCCATTTTACATTTAGACGTGACATATCCGTGGAAAAATCTGGTCACTGCTGGTTGGCTTCCGTACTCAAAAGAGCGAAATATGGCGTTGAACGTGTTTGATGATTATGAGGTAAGCAGGTCTATCATCACAATTACCCTATTTCTAATGATAAGTCTCATAGTGAAACATACATTCCTTTTTATGTTCGAGGCAGTTAAATATTCTTAGCACGACTATATTCCAAGATAGCATATCAAGATGGTGCAAACTTCAAACGCTAAATATTGCAGTAACTTCATATCTACTACTGTGCTAACGGGTCGTATACTGCCCACTGCGCGATTGTATCAGTTCATCAAATTAATAACTATTGCTTTTAGCTGCATTAGATGATACAGATGTTCTTATCCAGGTCCACTAAATAATTATAGCTTATGGTTAGAGATCCCGGGTAACATGGTTGAAAATTGATTGTGATCTTCCTGTAGGTCCTTAATTATATTATCCTAAAAAAATTTCTGTCTTTAGTTCTCACCTCTATTGATATTGTTATTTCACAATTTTGATTTCCATGTGATTACATTTCTGACCATATTAATGTGATTTGTGACAACTTTTGTTTAATACATGTAATAGTGAGGTTCGATGCAGGGTATTAGGAAATGATGGTAAATCAGTTGATGAGGTCATGAATCTTCATCGACTGAGATGGTTAGGCCACGTGTTACGTATGCCTGAACACCGATTACCACGACGCGCTATGCTGACTAGTGTAGGGGATGGTTGGAAAAGAGTTAGTGGCGGCAAAACCAAAACATGGCATCAGTGCTTGAAGTCACTAACTTCTAGTCTGAGCCATGTTGGCAGATGCAAACTACCTGGTTGGGGTCCGCGTGACTATCGTAGCCAATGGCTGGAGATTCTAGGTGACATGGCTCAGAATCGATCACAATGGCGTAGGTGTATACACTCTTTATCTTCTCTTAAACCTTAAGATTAAAATTGCTTCATAACGTCCTCCCTTCCTATACTATATTCTTATATACAACCTATCTTTTATATACTACAACCACTAAATTAACTACTATGAATTTGGTGTTCATCTTCTTGCGCTAACGAGGTATGGCAACTTGGATATATATATATTTGTGCCTGGTCCTATGTTGTAGTTGACTGACTGAATACATGTTTTTGCTCCACATCTTAGGTTTCTATGCAGAAATGTCGGGTTTTTGTCATCACACCGTTTAGGCTTCCAGTCGATATTCAAAATAGTTGTTTCTTTATCCAATTTCCTTTGGAAATTAAATTATCAATGACTTTTGACTTGTCTATTGTAGCTGTTGATTTGTTCTTGACTCTTCATATACATTAACTAAATTTATTGCAATATACTGTATCATTCCTGATGTACAATTCTCTGTACATGCATGATTAGATTTGTTATACCAGTCGTGCAGCAATGAGAATTAGTGTAGTAATCAAGTTGTTTTAAACAACCATTCAATGAATAGACTAACATTTGTTCATTGTTTAGTTTTCTTTCTTTTTCATGTGCAGCTTTATTATAATTGGAACCCTGATCTTTTGGAAATCCCACTGGTTTCATCACACCTGTTCACAAACGCACGAAATCTGGCTCGTCTGTTTACTCTTTTGGAAAACTCAGATAAATTAACGAATACGACGGTATCAGACAATATACCATTCGTCTTCAAAAAGTCGATACGAAATTGGATGCTACAGGTTGTTAATACATCTTCTTATGATCCAGTTCTTCACCGGTATTTAAAACTCAGTTCGGCAGGCTTTATGGTCACGAATTCACCAAAGGTACTGTTGATTTGATTAGTAGTTGTGAGAAAAAATTACATTAGATTATAGTATAGTGTAGTTTCAGTTCAAGCACTAAATGACTATCTAGGACGATGGAATTAATGGGTTCACTGCCTGTATTAGTAGATATTCTAAAGGAGGTCAGTGTGGTGCCACCTTCCACGAGGCAGAAATGCAGTTTCGACTTAACAGTAATTTTGCGTGCTCCGAACAAACTAGATATTAGAAAATATGTTACAATAAAGTCAATTTTAAATCTCGGTCTCAACACATCATTCTGCTGTAAATGTTTTCACTTGGATGAACTATTCCGGAAAAATATGTTTACATCTAATAATTTTACTTAAGCCCTTGAGATGATTAAATTCTGATTTTATCCCCATACAATTACTGGGTCAGAATAAGGACATTCAAATCAACAATGACGAGCTGGTAATATTCTTCGATGTATCAGCCTTATTCACCTCAATTGAACCAAGCTTAGCAAAGGAAACTCTATCCCTGCTTCTCACCAACGACACAGATCTCGCAAAGTCTACATAGGTTTAAAGTCAAAGTTCACTGGAACTCATCGGTTTATACTTAACAACATACTTCAATTCGACAACAAAATCTACAAACAAAAGGAGCACCAACGGGATCACCAATATCAGGACTTATTGCAGAAGCAGTGATGCAGAGACTGAAAGCCTCAATCTTACCGACGAACAAGCCGAAAATTTGGTTTCGTTATGTGAACGACACATTCGTCATTCTTAAAAAGGACTAATCGGAAAACACCTACAGTCTGATCAACAACGTCTCTGATGACATCAAGTTCACAATAGAACAGGAATTGAACTACAAACTACCATTCTTAGATGTATTAATCACTAGAACCGACACAGGAAAACTGGAGACTCAAGTATGTCGGAAGGCCGACCCACACAGGTCAAATTCTCAGTTACAGCAGCAACAATCCAAGAGCTCAGAAACTCAACTGCATACAAACTCTGTTCAAGAGGGAGAGAACACACTTGAAGCGCGAAAAAAAATTTAAAAAATACCTTAAGACCATCTTTCAGAAGAAAGGCTACCCAATCAACTTCATCGAAAAATACCAGCCAAATGCATCATCAGAAACGAAGTCAAGTACAGAAACCAACTAAAAAATCATCCTACTATATATAAAAGGTATATCAAAAACGACAACGAGATTGTTGAAGCCCTTCGGAATAGGTGTAGCACACAAACCACTTCAACCAATCCTATGCAAACTAAAAGACGAAATGACAGAAGAAGAAAAATCGAACATCATCTGCAAAATAAATTGTTACAACTGCGAAAAACACTACATCGGTCGAAGCGGACTCCCTCTATCCTCGTTTTCATAAACTTCAACTAGCGGTCAAACGCCACGACATAACCTCACTTACATCAATGCATGTGGACACGCATTCAACTGGAAAAATTTTTAGATTTTGGATAGAGGTAATTCTAAAGCTTGGCACTCAGGTCAATCAGCAATGAACAAACTGTGATGTTTATGAGTATTTGAATTATAGTATAAACTAGTAATCCCAGCAATAACTCAATTTAACCAAGAAGTATTAGATGAGCACGAACGAATGTGGTGTATTTGGAATTCAAAATCAAAACAGTCAACAATACAAAGAAATCATTGATTCATATAAACACCACACAAGCACACTGAAATCAATCCAATCTGAAAAATTATAGACAAATACAGGACCAAAATTCAAACATATGGGAGATACAACCAAAGTAAAGAAGTAAACAACGACAGGTTTAACGTCAACAATAACCAATCAACGTCGAGGTTTTCAGGACAAATGTGAGTCATATATGTAGAAATTCAAACAGATTACTTGTACCTGAAGTTGGTGCTGATGATGTCGTTCAGAATAACGAAGAAAGCTCCACGACCAAACCATTCATCTCAGAGAACAAAACTTCATCAAAATTATAGAAACTGGCTAGAAAGTTGTTAACAAGCGTTTTACTAGCAAACTGACTCATTCATAATTGTCATTTTTTCGCTATTAGTAATTTTACCCTAAAATATATTTTGCTTTCTGCTGTTCAACGTCAATTATCACTAAGTTATACCATATAATGTACAGTAACATCGCTTTTTGTTGAGAGAGTAGGGTAAATATCTAGTAAAAGAACTATTTCTTTTCATATCGCTCGTGGTGGTACTTGTTGGCTGAACTGATGTTACTTTGTTTCGAAACGTTCGTAGGTGTTATGTTATTTTCGTGCCAGTGATACCATGAACGCTCATTCTCTGTCTTATTAAGTGTAAAGTTTAATCAAGATTACAAGCTTTTAAAATTTATGCTATAAAATTAGAGACGTAGCAAATAGATTGACAATGTGCTATGTAGAGTGTCAGAACTCACTTTAATTTTATACATACATTTTTTAAATTATACTGATATATATATATATATATATATATATATATATATATATATATATTGTGGAACCATGTCAATGTTTCTCTTGCCTGTTTTGAGCATAGTATGCTACTAAAGTATAAATCGTTGTCAAGTAAATTATATGCACAAGTCAATTCAGTATTATCTTGTATTATTATCTGTTTATTCCATAATGTTATTTCGTAAATAAATTATTTTCATTCCCTATTTTGTACAGAATACCTTAATGTTTGGCATGTGGGATGATATTCTTGGTCAAGGAGTTTTTATTGATCCTCAGCTACAACTAACATGGGCCTATGTGACTAATCATGCACATGCTCGATCTCTTAACAAGGATTTTATTTTAAATTCTTTGATTGATTCTGTTTATTCTTGCATCAAGGAATAGTCTCAGGTCTCGTAGCATCCATTGAAAAAAGACTGGTACAATAAGTTATATTCAATATTTTGGGATGTCCTTTAAAGATATAAACCAAATGTATATATTTTTTTATAATTGATCATGATTTATATGATCTGTTGAAGTTAATTGTTGCATTTAAATTTGGTAAATAAAAAATACCTTTTTATTTTTCGCTTAATGTCTTCTCAATTCTACCGAATAGTATTTGACTTATTATAATTCCTACATGTTGGTTGTATCCGTGATAGTTTAATGTTAATTTATTATCCTTTATTCATTCATTAACTATTCTCGGTTTTACGATAAAATTACACTTAAAGCAAAAACGATATTCATTTAAACTTGTGGGTTCAGTAAACTAAATACTTATCATTCAGTTCTGTCTAAATGTGGGATGATAGTGTTTATCAGATCCATTCACTCAAATTGCATCTTCACTGTTAGGACTAAACGATGGATAATAAGAAATAATTATCGTCACCATTCTAGAATTACGAAAGAAATAGCAAAGCGAATACTAATGGACAAACTAATCTCCGGTGAATGTCTCAAAGAGTTACTTGTTCTAACAAGTACGTTCTTTATATTTAGAGAACGATGAATGAGCTAGGTAGCTTGATTTTAATAGATTTCTTTTTTCAATAACAACAGAATGATGTTACCGATTTTCTTTTGTTAATTACCATAATAATCATAAAAATGTTAGCGAATAAATAAGGATTTTTCAAATAGACAGCATTCATAGTCGTTATTTTAGACAACAGGTGGTAGCTCTTAAAATAGATCATCCTATCCACAAACCTTACTCTTATCTCGCTACCCCTTACCTCAGGTTTAGTGTTGGTTTATAACTTTCGAGCTTCTACACACCTGGTAGTTTTAGGAACAATTATAACATTGGATAAAAAGACTTGGTTACGAGTAGGTATGCTCTCCTCGAGACGAAGACAGTAATAACAGTATTCCGTCTACTCTATGTATTTTTACTGTCCTAGTATGTGGTTACATTAACAAAGCGTACGATATTAAATTGTATGTGTTGTGACGGGTGGTGTCCAAGATCTAGTACTAATACATGGTGTGCCGCGCGCGAACCCTCCTCCCCAACTGGCTACTTGAGAGAGGAAGTGTACTGGACCATCGAATAAAATGTACAAATACTCATTCATATATATATATATATATATATACCACTCTAATCCTTAAAGAATTGACCCGTTTCTTAGCCAGTAAAATTTACTTGTTCTTTAGGTCGCTTCTGATTGCCATCGACTGACCTCGTCAGGCTCTTCATATCAGTATGAACTTTGGGAAAACTGACCAATATTCAAATTCTTGTACTTTATTGGCTTGGAAAGGAATAATAATATGATGACCATACCACATTAAACTTAAGGGGATATTTGTCGTTGTTCAACTTTTTTCTTAGGTACTAAAGTTTCATGAAGCAGTAAGCAACCAAAAAGAGAAACTATAAGCGTATAACAGTCGAAAATACACTTTTAGTACTTCAATTCACCCACAATCAATAAGAAAGTTTCCATGTGACAGCTGTTTTCCCTCTTTAAGCAACTTGGATACAGAATTGGCATACGTCCTCCAGCTCTTAGCGGGCCATATTAAACCGAAATTGAATGAAAGCAACACAACCTGACAGGCTAACTTTAATGGTGATGGTCTGTTTAAGTTGTCTGGAATATTATTTAGAGTTTAGTGCTTATACGTAATCCCATCTGACTGGTCTCAAACTTTGACCGTTCCAACCAGTAGCAAAGGACTCAAATCCTCTTGCGCTACCCACAGAGGAATCACTTGGAAAAATTTTGTTTAAAGTAATCAATCGGCATCAGGATTTAGGTCGAAAATAACAAACTCAGCTAAACCGAGCAGTTTTCAGACATGGTCGTAGATGTTTTGATGAAATCTCTAACGACCACGTTTTAGAATACAGATGTATACTGACACCTGTATTAAACCGCGCTCCCCAATCTTAAGGGAGTATTTGAATCCACTGACTTAGGGGTTTTGTGACCTTATTAGAGTGTGTATCGATGTGGATGGTCTGAATGCTCTTTACTCGAACATAATTGGATAGGCCAGAACGTATGATGAACTGTCATCAATATAATCCAGTCTTCTGAACATCTCGAATAATAACCCAAACATTTTAAAGGTGCGTTGCTCTCCCCATAAATGCGAAATATTTCTTAAAGACTGTTCTGCTATTATGTCTATAGTACGATAAGCAGTTGAGCCTCCAGATCACAACCCCTATTCCAGAAATCTTATCAGTCCTGGTGAGTTGATGGCTGGAGAAATTCCAACACGAATTCACAAACCTAGATCGACATTTCCTAACCTATGTCACATTTTGCGTTAGTCTAGATGTCTTTAACAACCAAAAGATAAAGTCATTGCACAACAGTTCTCTTCTATTGGCTGTGAAACGTGGCTTTGCAAAATAGAGGACAGTCGTATTTTACTAGTATTTGACATGAATGTTGTGCGAGCATTGTCTATGTGTCGATAATAATGAGCGATTAATGCTGAGGTTAGATCCAGGGTACTAGGCGAACAACACAAGTCAGCTGATGAGAATGAATGTTCATCGACTGAGGTAGTCGGGATGTAATGTATGTTCAACCGCCACCTATTAGTGAGCCATTATGGCTGATGTAAGAGTAATTAGGAAGTTATGGGCGGATTACCTGAAACGTGACATCAGTTAATGAAGTCACTGACAGTTGGTCTGAACCATGTTTGTAATTGGAGATTACTTGATTAGGATCAGCAAGATTATGTCCAGTGGTTGAAAATGTTGAATTATTTCACTCAGGATCGGTCGCAATGACACGTGTAATCACTTCTTCTAACTTAATATTTTAGACTTTTCATACAATTATATGAATTATTTATAAATTTGAATAAAGAACATGAGTTCATTTATTTCGTGAATTCTCCTCAGCTACTTATAACCAAAAACCATAGTATTAATCATTAGAACGAAACAAGTACACATAATCTCAATCAGAAACGTCTAGTTTAAACGAAGTTACATGTACTTTTTAAAGCACACACGCCAGAAGAACAGAAAGGAGGGTTTGTATCAGCATCTGAGTATTCTATAAAATTTGAGACTTGACGGACAAGAAATTTTCAACAATGCATTTGCTCAACATTCAACATAATGTTCAAGTTTCACAATCTTTTAAAATAAACAAAGGGAGTCGAAACCATAACTCCTTGCCGAATCTGTTGCAGTCAAACGATTTAGACGCAATTTATGCATCCTCAAAAAAAAGTTACCAATCTTGTTTTGCCCTGCTAACCTTATTTTTTTAAGATTAAGTAGGACTGTTTCCCGTAAATTTTAACTAAAATTTTTAGTATCTTCATTCTTATTTCTGAGCTTCACTCAGCTGGTCTATATTACATTATCTATCTTCGATTTCAAGAATTATCCCATCTCCATCCTCTTCTAGAATATTCATATATCTAACTTATAAATAAGCGTCTCCATAAATTTCCCTATCTCCACATATTTACTCAATTTATTCTAGACATTTTCGGTGTGGATTATGTACACTTGCTTCATTTTAATGATTAATACTATGGTTTTAGGTTGTAAGCAGTTGAAGAGAAACCACGAAACAAATGAACTCATATTATTCTGCTATGACATTCGTCCTTTTTTACTCGAGTCTAGACTTTGTATTCGATGAATTCATTCTATTTTTGGACTACATTTTCGATCCTTAATCTTCCCTACTGTTATTGATACTACTGCTATTACTTTAACTTTAGGTATCTATCCTGTTACTTTTCGCTTGTTATGTCGACGTAGTATAACGTGATATGACAAACATTTAGGCCAGACCGTTGATTATAACTGTTCGGTTATAATGAATGAGGTGAATACTTTTCTCCTCGTTTATTTGAATGAGAAGCGAAGCATCGCATGTTGTTCTGGAGAATACCGTTTTTTCTTGTAGAGATATTTATGATCAGATCTCTTGAATAAACTAATTGATGTAGGAGGTACAAAATAAAGCCTTTATAAACATTAATAAATTTCTGAAAAAAGCCAACATTATGAATTAAAAATAGTTTGACTGTAAAAAACATAAAATCTTGACACAATATACTTATACTAGTTCGTAGTATAGTGTTATAAGTTTGGTTTTGAATGTGGATGATGTTGTGAAACTCTCGGTTTATTTGGTAGCATTTTACATAATTCATAATTCTGTCCATTAAGATATTGATCACAGTCGCTAAAAGTACTACGAAAACTTTGTCGTGATTCTAAATTTCGACTTGCCACGAATTCCGATCTATTCACCTGATGATGTTGTCCAGTACTCCTGCTAGTAGTTGTACTAACATTGGATATTGAATTATGATCGACTAATTCTGTAGAATTGTTTAAATGCACAGATGTGAGATATTTTAACATTGAAAAAATGACATCTGGACTGCAACCCAGTGCAATCAAGCCATATACTCTTCTAATAGAAAAAGATATAGAAAGTTAAATGTTATCAAAACAACAAATAATCGATAATAATTATACATAAAAATTACGTTTTTTTTAATATACAACCAAGTAATCAGATAAACTGTTCTGATAGCTAGCGGATAAATGCTAAAGTAGTGTATCGATGACTAAATTTAGGAAATATAGTTCAAAAATAACGAATGAAATACTACGACTAAACATTTAAATGAATATAATGAGTAGATCTATTTAGGCCACTTCAAACAATTGTGAATCATGTCACATTTGAGGTCTTTAACTAAAATTAATTTGATGACATTAACTTGAGGGCTTACACCTCCACATAGGAATTAGACTCACAGTCAATGGCGTCATGAAACGATACGAAGTCATTGTCTGGAAACCCTTGAGTCTTCCAACTTACAGGTTTATATACTGTATTTTATAGACCCATTGCACTGAATGGATACCCGAAAGTGTTTTCTAGTTTACAACTGGAAGAGATTACCAGGTCATCCATCTATGTAATCATACTTTATCTACTTATTTCCTTATTATTGATATATACTACCGGAAATTTAATTATTTCCATACTTTAAACCTAGAAAGAGCGACCTTACTAGATCGTTTGATTATAATTAGGTAAATAGGGTCACGTGCGGAAGAGTGAAATAACGATGAAATATTGGGATTTTATTTCAAAGAATGAATGCTTTATTGTGACTTATTTTGAACTCTACCAGCCATAGCGTCTAACCACAAACCACAAGACGCCCCCGAAATACCGATCAAGAAGCTTGCTTTTCCTTATATGGCATAATGGATTGATCTGTTCACTTCTAACCGTTTCTTAAGCATATCCCACACTGGGTAACGTCAACTGACGAGGTGGGATGACTCGTTACAGATGGAAAACAGAATAAGATGTTTCAATTTCACTAAAACTAATCGTACAGTAGCCAAGTACCAGATTGTCAGTTTAATTTTCACTCATAATTTAAGTGAGGGGTAGGCGTACTATTTAGGTACTCAAGCTGAAGCAGGCGAGGTAGCATTTAAACTCGCAATCCGTTGGCTGAAAGTGAAGTTTGTCAATCACAAAACTACTGCTCTACATAATCTTGTATAATGACATACTTTCTTCCATACAACTCTCTGCTGACCGTTGTCATTACTTAATCCACGATCCTATCACTTCCAAGGAATGTTTAAAAGATATTAATGGTTAGGTGTCTGCGATCTTTTCATGTCTTTTTAAGTTTTGGGAAATTGAATTTCCGTGCCAGTTTTCGAGCCAAAAATGTATTGGACTTGTAGAACTAATCTACTAAGCAGGACATATACATGAGTCAAACTTTAGATTTCAAAGAAAATGAAATAAAATGCCATCTGACTAAACCGATATAAGTCACTTAAAGAGAAATGTTAATTAAAAAGCTGCATCATACCTAAAAACTTTGTTATCCATAGGAACTCCCGCTTTGATTGCAAGCTCATATAGAGCAACATCATTTGGGACGGTCATTTGAAATATATTAAGGTCTTTGCAGTAAAACAGTAATAAAGAGCTCAAAATTCATTAAATGACAAATACACTGAAGTATAAACTGCACGACAATATTTAATAAGAAATACTTTCTACATAGAACGAGTTATAAGGTAGAGCCGAAATGATTAATAAGCAGAAGAGAAACTGTAATCTGTTGGTTTTAAACTAGAACTTCCAAACACTAAGTTGGAGTTCCTGGTATGAACTCTAACTAGCTAGGTTCACGCAGTTGTTTTGTCTCACCCAATACCCGATGAGACCACGAGCCAGAACATAAGGTTATTGAATTGCATTAATTAGAGTTTTCTTGTTGGATTTCAATGTGAAAGTGAAGGGAATCATTACTTTGTAGACTGGTTATCCTGACGTAACCTCTTCAATCATGTAGTCTTCGAAATTGATTCACGTTCACTGGATAGCATCATGTATAACTCTGTGAGCGCTTAGCAATGGGTTTCTGTATGCTTTCTAAAAGTGCTGTATGTACTCTAGTCTACTACGGTGGATCGAAAGTTCGATGAAAAAATTAGGTCCCTGTGTGCACAAATTGTGCAAGATTTGCGTCAGGATCAAGAAGATGGATGATTAGAGGGTGCTTTGTAGTTGAAATAAACAACTATATCTAAGAACTATTGGAAGCTAGTTTAACTCATCCGAGTCACAGGCAACAGAAAGCCTAGTGTTAATGAAACAATCTGTGAAATCAATGGAACGCCAGTTATCCCAAAATGCCCTGGTAAGGCCGAGGGTGGAATGAGTCAGCTCTCACTCTCGAAACGCTCTCACATGGCCACGTGCATACAACCACTGACACAGAAGTCCTATTCACTGCCTTCTCGTGGCGGAGATGTTGTTTACGAAACTGATAGGACGAAAAGAGAATGTCCAGAGCTTTAACCGGGTTGGTGGACACTGAAGGTCCACCTAGGGCAATTGGAAAACCCTGATTTTACACCAATGGTGCACATGGGCTTCAGTATCCTGAAGGAACAAATGGCGTATGGACCAATCGTTGGTCACTGTCTACCATGGGACTGCATCCACCTCATATTTGAAACAAGTACTCGTTGTTTAAACCTCACATACTAAATGTGTCTTCACAAAGTCGAGTACAGTACCCTAAACATTCCTCGTCCAAGTGAAATGGCTGACGGATAGCCCGTGACCAAACCACCCAGCTCAAAGAACAAAACCCCATCAAAATCATCCACCTGAGCTACAAATCTTCCCTACGATCTCAAAATCATATGAGCGTAGTACGCTTCTCGTTGTTTGAAAATGGGAGAATTTTGCGGAAAGGCAGGCTTCCACTCGAGAACAACTGTATTTTCTCCGCGAGTGTTTTAGTCAGCATGTTCTGCCAACAAGTGTAAGATGCAGACGTCCAATCAACTACCCAATGGGATGGATACACGGCCAAACCATCCAGCTCAAAGAAAAAACTCTGATCATCCACCTGAGTTGCAAATCTTCACCATAATTATGTTGTTTGGCTTTTGTTACATTTTAATCGTGCTTCAAGAAATACCAAGATGTATTCAAGGTAGACATAAAAACTTGTGTGATTCCGAGAAGATCAGAGTACTATTATGCAATCTTGTCACAGCTAAACATTAGCGCTACAAGAAGTGACTAGTGAATGTCAGAGGTTGGTGAACTTAAAACATGACACTTCTATGGTTGAAAACAGTCATCAGCCACCATGTACACAGGTAATAAGTAACCAGAAAGATTCTTCTGTACGAAAGCAGAGCAGCTCAAACAAATAGTCTCCATCCTCGTGCTGGTTATGTGGTGAGTGGCATTACAAGACGTTCCATACAAAAACTACTGTTGCACTAAATTTCAGCATAAATGACATAAGAAATCCTGTTATAAGAGGAAGATGTATCGTTGTTCACTGCGATTTCATTCCAGGAGATATAAACATCATGCAGCAACCAGAAAAATAATGGTAGCACACACGAACAGAACATAGTCGACGAAAATATATAACCATCGAGGTAAACGGTCACGGTGCCCACCAGCCACTTAACACTGATTCCGACACCACACATATTAGCAGAATAACCTGGAAGCATATCTGAGAACTATAGGTGTTCCTAACAACCCAGTTAGCCTACAGCACATCTAGAGGGAACTTAAATATTATTGGAGAGGTATGCTATTCAGCCTCCAAAAAAAATGAAAAGACGAACGCGACATTACACATCACAAAGAATCCAGGACTAGGTTTTCTGGGTCTAGACCTAATGGAAACACTGCAGCTAATAAACTACCCCACTAATCATATATACAGTAGCATGAGAACCAACGAACCAGCGAAGAATCTCAGGAACGTTGTTTTAAAGAAAAATAGTCAAGTATCCACGAAAGAACTTGGGGAATTCAAAAAAGTAAAAGCACTGCTAATTCCTAAGCCAGGAGCCACCCCAGTTTTTAGACTAAAGCGTTCGGTACCTTGTGCAGCGCTACCTATTGTTGAACAATAATTAAAGCACCCGCTAAGAAGTGGAATCATACATTTAGTTAATTATTCCGATTAGGCAGCATCAATAGTATTTGCTTAAAAGCCCAACAGAAGTATCCGGCTATGTGCAGATTATTTGACTGCATTAAATGAAGTTTTTGAAGCTCATCAGTACACTTTATCGTTACCAGAAGACTTATTTGCGAAATTGGGTGGTGGGAAGTATTTCGCACAACTGGATCTATCGGAAGTTTATCTACAGATTCCAGTAGCCAAAGAGTGCTAGCATTATTTGACAATAAACACCCATAAAGGTTTGGTCTGGTATAGAAAACTACATTTTGGAGTAAAGACCGCCCCTTCAATATTCCCAAAAATTTATGGACAATATGTTGCAAGATATTTCTTGTACTGCTGCGTACTAGATGATATACTAATCGTGGGTACGAAATGTGGTGACTTAGAGAAGAAGCTGGATATGTTCCTCAGAATCATGGCAGATCGTAGTGCTTGTTTTATGTGCACGATTGTCTCACTAGCGTTAGGTACCCAGTAGATACAGGTGCCCAAGTTTCTGTCGTACCGATTAATGACAGTAAGCCTCAAGCTACGGTTCTTCGACTACGCTCTGCGAATGACTAAGTCGCTCCTGCCTATGGTACACGACATATTACGGTCAACCTGAGCGACCGACGATAGTATCTGAGGTCGTTCATCATTGTCAATGTTCCCACAGCCATACTCTGTATCGATTTCCTACAGCATTACGAATTGCTAGTCGATTCACGTAGGTTGCAGCTAGTCGATACTTCGTCCAACAGCAAATCCATGAGGTTTGTAGCTCACATGAACGCGTGACGAATCACAGGTTTACTCCATTTGCGTGACGATTTATTCCACGTTTTATTTCAGAAATTCCCCAGATTAACTAAACCTTTCGAGGAGATCCCATCGGTGACCAATCGCTTGGTACACCACATAGTCACCCGCGGACCCTCAGTTACGGCAAAACATTGCTTACTCGCACCGGACAAATTAGTTTTCGCCAAACGTGAGCTTGACAATTTAGTAGCTACTGGTTTTATTCATCCTTCTCACAGTCCCTTAGCCTCACCTCTCCACATGGTACGCAAAAAGGATGGAGTTAGTTGGGGACCATGTGGAGACTACCGAGCATTAAACGTAGTTACACGTTTTGATAGATACCCCATCCCACATATACATGACATCACATTCTGTAGTGATCTACTTTTATAAATAGATGCGATTGGTATAATGGAAACAATTATTATTATAACCAATTTTACATTTGATTGTTTTACTGTAACCTTTTGTCTAAGTGTACAAAACACACACGTTCTTCAGTTGACTGTAACTTTGCACGAACTCGCATACGCTCGGTAGTTCAGCTTATAAACTTTGGCATATCTCGGTATTCTTTCGACACCACAAGATCGCCAACAAATATATCATATTGTAACCCTCAACAGCCTTATAGAGAAAGAAGCCCTACCCATTATGTTCGCTGTGAAAAAAAACTTCCACAAGATGCTGTGTGGTAGACAGTTCACCTTAATGACAGACCATAAACCACTAATGACGGTTTGAGACCCACGAAAGACACCCTTGTCTACAGCGATGGGCAAATACACTTTCGGGCTATGGTCTCCAAATAAGGTATCGACGAACAACGGGTTTTAGACAGGCAGATGCCCTCAAGATTGATCAGTTCCCATGCAAGACAAGAAGAGGAGGTACTTGTAGCTGCCGTAGATGTTGAAGCTGAGGTTAACACAGTACTGGGAGACGCAGTTTCCGGAATTCCGGTTACATTCGAGATCATTAAAAAGCCAGTGAGAAGAATAATACGCTGAAGGTTTGTTCGCCTCTGCATACTCAACAAGTGGCCTTCATCTAGATTACATGGAGAGCTCTTACAATGTTTTCGACAGTTGTTGATTCGTCCATCACGTTTGGCCACCATATCATTATCCCCAAAGATCTATGGGAAGTCTTTTCGAAAAGCTTACAACCAAATACCTATGGAAACTGACGACACTCTGAAAACCGCCATCATCACTCCTTTCGGCCTTTACGAATTCTTACGAATGCCTGTCGGACCAAGAAATGCGGCTCAAACCTTCCAAAGGTTCAAAGACGACGTCTTCCGAGGTCTCAACTTCGTGCATGCGTATATTGATGACTGCCTCATAGCAAGTCCGGACAGAGAATCACATCTCCAGCATCTGGACATTGTTTTCGAACGACTCCAAAGGCATGGCATTACTGTCAACATTCAGAAATGTGAAATCGGAACAATCTCCTTAGACTTCTTAGGACACACCATTGATGCCCAAGGCATCCGACCCCTTAGAAGCAAAGTGGCGGCCATTCTGAATTACCCAGAACCGACGACGTTCAAGCAGTTGCGAACTTTTAACGGCCTTGTAAGTTTCTACAGACAGTTCATACCTAAATTCACATCTCTTATGAAACCGTTAACCGATCAACTTCGTGGAAATGCAAAATCAATTCGTTTAGACGACGCAGTGCGTAAAGCATTCTCCATAGTTAAGGAACATATCGCTAAGGCAACCCTGCTTGCGCATCAGGACACTCAAGCGCCCATTAGTATCACCGTAGACGCATCCGACTCATCAATCGGAGGAGTCTTACAACAATGGGTTAACAACTCGTGGCAACCTTTAGGATTTTTCTCGAGACGGTTGCTGGACGCGGAATCTAGGCACAGCACGTTCGGTAGGGAACTCCTAGCTATGTATTGTGCTGTACGGCATTTCCAACATTCCATCGAAGGAAGAGAATTCACGCTTTTTACCGATCACAAACCTCTTACCTTCTCTTTAAGTTCATCTTCAGAAAAGTACTCACCTCGAGCGTCTCGACAACTGGACTACATTTAGCAGTTTACTTCAGATATACAACACATTTCTGGAGCAAACAATGTAGTCGCAGACGCCTTGTCTCGAATAAGTTCCTTGAACAGTTTCCAAGGAATCGACCTTCTTAAACTCGCTCAGCTTCAAAAAGAAGACATTGATCTTCAGCATGAGTTATCATCGACAACTCTTAAACTGCGTATTACACAGATGGGAACAGGTAAGGAAACCTTACTTTGCGACACATCTACAGGTAGGGATCATCCAATCGTACCAAAACATTATCCACGCGTCTTCAATACCTTGCACAATCTTTCTCATCCAGGTGTTCGTACATCCATCAAGCTTATAGCCGAACGGTTTTGCTGGCCTGGTATGAATAAAGACGTGGGGGAGTGACACGCTCTTGTGTAAACTGCCAAAAATCTAAGGTAATCAGACACAACAAATATCCTTTAGGCTCTTTCAAAACCCCTGACGCTCGTTTCCACCATGTTCATCTAGATTTGGTAGGACCCTTACCCGATTCAAACGGATACTCATATCTCTTAACATGCGTAGACCGTTTCACTCGATGGCCAGAAGCAGTATCGATTAAGGACATTATTGCTGAAACTGTGGTTCGCGCTTTCGTTGAACGATGGGTTGCAAATTTCGGCTGCCCTTCCACGATCACTACAGACCGCGGACGCCAGTTCGAATCTGGACATTTCCGTTGTTTGACCTCACTATTAAGAATCACTCGCTTCCGAACGACCGCCTACCACGCACAAGCAAACGGGTTGGTAGAACGTTTTCATCGACAACTTAAAGCTTCACTATCAGCTACAAGCGTTTCACAGTGGACAGACGCTCTTCCACTCGTCTTACTAGGTATCCGCAATGCAGTCAAGGCTGACATTGGATACACTGCATCTCAACTCGTTTACGGAACGACACTCCGACTCCCATGAGAATTCGTGGATCCTTCAGCTTCTTCATTGAACATGGATCTGAACTCTTAAACGAGTAGGCTCACAAACGCTATGCGTTCAGTTAAACCTGCTCACACTCGACCTCAATCAACTGATGTTTTCGTTCAACCAGAATTACGACATAGTACACACGTCTTCGTTCGTCGAGACTCACATCGACAACCTCTCGAATCAGCATACGAAGGACCATTCAAAGTTTTTCAACGTGAACCCAAGTACTATGTAGTCGATAAGAACGGCACTAACGATACCATCAGTATCGATCGCCACGACACGGCTCTCACACCTGTAATACCCCACACGACAGCCGAAACATACCTTGATACTTCGTCAACATCGAAAGATAAACATAAGACAATGCGTTCTGGAAGAAGAGTAAGATTTCCATAACATCTTAACGACTATTGCACGTAGGCAGCAAACTTTATCTCGAATTCCCTTTGCATTATTTATTATAAACAAGAACTTTTCTAATACGCTTGTTTTTATATATTTATTTAGGAAAAATTTTTTTACTTATGAGCGTATTTTTTTAAATGAAAAAACGAACAAAAAATCCAATCGCTTTTACGCTGTCGCAAGTGTATTAGTTTATATATTTATGTATATTTTTTCCGCTCACCTTGTGTCCTTACGCAAGTACGAGTGTATTTTTGACATGCACTCCAACGTTCTATTTTTTTTCTTTTCCAGGACGGCTAGAAAAGAACGACGAAGTTTCATAAGGAACCGAAATTTTCATTGTACTTTGTTTTCTTATTACTATGTTACACATTAGGGTCCCTTGGTGTAAGGAAAGACGACCAGGCGCTGCTAAACAGAGAAAGCCATCAGAAGAGTGTTTACCAACGAAAAACTCGTTGAGTTTTAACTTCTGGCTGGTCACGTCGTAGTGTCATCACTACCTCACTAAGGGGAGGGGAGTGATCTTAGCTGTAAATAATTCCCCAAAATCAATAGCTCATTAAGTGTTCGACATTGGATGTTGACCACATTGTTTTAAGTGGACTTGTTTAACTGAAGGCTTTCGGTCATGCATCCGTACCAGATCACGTTACGACCCAGCGTGGGACACAGCTATTACGTTCACTAGCCAACTTAGAGTAAACGCTTCGCGATATATTGATAACGTATCAAATATATCTTTCCGATCTCTTCACATCTGACTTCTGATTTTAA